AACCTTCAACCTTCAACCCTGGACCCTAAACCTTCAGCCTCCAACCCTAAATCCTAAACCCTAAACCCTAAACCTTTGGGTGCCCTGTGTTGCCAGGCCCCTACCTCCTGTCGGTACTTCTGCGCTTCGTGGTGGCGCTTCCGAAGCCGCGGTGGTGGGAGGCAGGCACCCACTAAGTTTTGTAGGTTTAGGGTCTAGGCTCTAGGGTTTAGGGTTTAGGGTTTAGGGTCTAAGTTCTGTAGGTTTAGGTATACCCTAAGGGTCCAAGGACCCAAATAATAAGGGTTTAGGGCCCAGTTGCTATAATATCAAAGGTATTTGGGCCCTAAAGCCCTTTTAGGGTTTAGGGTTGAAGGTTTAGGGTTTAGAGTTTAGGGTCTGGGGTTTAGGGTTTAGGGTAGTATATTATAATCCCTTACCCCAAAAACCATAACAGACTCCAAAAAGGAACTACATAGGAGCCCTTGGGTAATCTCCAAGTATAGGGGTATACAGGATCTACCGAGGTTATAGGGATCCGGGGCTTGGGCTTAAGGATCTACAGGGTTTTAGGGTTTGTGCTATAGGTTTCTGTGCTCGGGCTTTTACACCTAAACCCTAAACCCTAAGCCCTAAACCTTAGGGCTTGTGGTTGTACAGTGTAGGCCTTGGGAAGCATAATGCGATGGCTCCAAGCTTAACGGGGCCTTGCATTGGGGCAGTAGTCTACTTGCCAGGGTATTCAACGGGAACCTTTTCTTTTCTGCACCCCATTGAAGGATGCTATTGCTTTAGGGTTCAGAGATAGGAGTATGAGATCAGGTGTATACATTCTCCTGGCAAGCGTTACGTTCACATCCAAAGCGGGGCTACAATCAGTTTAACCAAAGCAAGCGGGATCTTGTGTGATGCCCTAAGGGTCCAAAAACCAAATAACCATACACTTACCCAACATTTGCTCTATATTTACTACTACCCGAAACCCAAGTACCTAATTGTTGGGTACTTGGGTCTGTCCCACTCCCTGCAGACGACTGCACTTAAGTCCGAACCGCAGCCAAGCTACACAGGGTCATCGACATGGCCCGTCATGCAGAGCATAGTGTTCAGGACTTGTTCAGGGTTTTTGCGGGTTTGGATTTTGGTGGTGGGGTCCGGGGCCTCAGGTTGTAGGGCACACGCTTGGGGATTTCGTTGTTGGTATCGTTACAGACTTGGGGTTAGCGTTTCTAGGTTATGGTACTTAACATGCCTGACTCTTCACGCGCAAGATGCCTACTCCTACTTGTACCTCTTTTGGTGGAGTATACAATTTGTGCGCTGGATTACTCGGAGACTGCTCAGGAAGCGCCAATGTTTAACTTTTGTTTGGGGGCCCCAGGCTGTCATGGTGAGATGCTAGACCCTAAAAAAGCATTTGTTTGGACATGCTCTAGCCATGGGTACACACCCCCAAAGCAATTTTGCCCTGTTCATTTACCTGAAACCCAAAACTCGAAACATGGCTCAAGCCAATGCACTTATGTATGCACACATGTACTAGTAGAGAAGTAGTAGTACCTTATACCTTAACTATAACATACCCATACACCCTAATATACTCTAGTATACTCCCTGAGCAACATGATGGCCATGCTGTCCGACGGAGTCGCAGTGTCTGGAGCAACGGCATATCGAGCGTTCGAGTCTTTTGAGGACTACCGGTTGGATGAGAATCTCCTACGTGGAATCCATTCTTTCGGCCTTCAGAAGCCGCAAGCTATGCAGCGCTGTGGAATTAAGCCTATTGTGGATGGGCGCGACACAATTGGCGAAGGAAAGGCAGGCATCCATATGATCGTGACCTTCCTCATCGGCTGCATGCAACGAATCGACTATACGCTGAATCGGACGCAGGCCCTTATCCTGGCAAGCACACGTGAGCTGGCCGACCACATTTACGGAGTGTCCCTGGCGTTAGGTGAGTATTTGCAGATGAGGAACCACGTGTGCATCGGGGCGGCTGCCATACACGAGGACGTGGACAAGCTCTGGGATGGTCCCCAGTTAGTCGTGGGCACATCAGATCGTATTCACAAAATGGTAAGAAGCACCAACTTGCAGGTGGATAGCCTCAGGATCTTCGTGCTTTATGAGGTGGATGAACTGGTGTCGCTCGGCTTCAAAGACCAAATCTACGGCATCTCTGAATGCTTGCCGCATCACATCCAGGTCTGTCTCTTCGCAGCCACAATGTCACCAGATGTTTTGGCGATGAGCTCGAAGTTTCTGTACGATCCCGTGCACAGTATTGTTAGACAGGAGCAGCTGGTGCTGGATGATGTGCGGCACTTCTACGTGAACGTTCAGAGGGAGGACTGGAAGCTGGACGTGCTCTGCGACCTGTACGAGTTCTTGGCGAGCTCACAGGCCGTCATCTACATCAACACGTGCAGGAAAGTGGACTGGGTACAGGACCAGCTGACCAAGCAGGACTTTAATGTTTCGTGCATACATGGAGAGCTGGACAGGAAGGAGCGGGATCTCGTCATGCGCCAGTTTCTGTCTGGGTGTATCCGTATGTTGCTTTCCACAGACAGGCAGATGCCCGAAATCAATGCTCGACAGACCTCCTTTATCATCAACTACGACCTTCCAGAAGGACGCACAAGCTTGAAGAGCTACTGTCACCGCAGCGTCACCAGGCAAACCTGTGGTAGCCTTTCACGGGGATCTGCGTTTCAGCCTTCAGACAAACAATAGACAGGTGCGTGTCACTCGAAGTACGCCAGAGGACGTTGCCTCAAACCCTTCTGTTTTGAGCCTTGTAGCGGGTTTCTTAGAGCCCTCCATACATGTATCTTTCTCTCTACATATATATATACATTCAGTTCTCAGTTGCTTATATGTAGAATCCCTACGCAGGATCCCCAAACCCTAAACCCTGCACCCTAAACCTTTGACCCTACACCCTAAACCGAAACCTCAAACCCTAAACCCTAAACCTAAAAACCCGAACAGGAAGGTCCAAGCACTCAGGTTTTGAGGTACAGAAACGTCAAACAAGGATCCCCGAGGTTGGAGTTCTGCCCCCACTCAGTAACAGTTGGATAAGAGTTATAATATGGCTATATATAGCCCCTAATAGGACCCCTTATATAGACTGTTACTGGGAGGCGGCAGTACCCAAGGTTTAGGGTTCTAGTGTTTAGGGCTTTAGTGTTTGGGGGTTTGAGTATTTTTGGGGTTCTCGAATTGAGGGCTTCAGGGTGTGTAGAGTTGCAGGGTTTAGGGTTTTAGGGCTTTAGGGGTTGAGGGTTTTAGGGTTTTAGAGCTTAAGGATGGCTAGCTTAGGGCTTTAGGTCTAAGGGTTTGGGATTTAGGGTTTTAGGGTTTTGGGGCTAGAAATTTGAGAGTGGGTGCAGGGTTTTAGGGCTTAGGCTTAGGGTTTGTCCCAAGTACATCTTTCCTGATAGAGGGCTATTGAGGACTCGAAGAATAGGGCCCCTTTAAAGGGGTTATAGGGGGATATATGGGGATCTATGGGGACTATATAGGGGTACATAGGACCCAAATAATAGGGTTTTAGGGCCCAAATACTATAATATGTGTGGTATTTGCGCCCTAAAGCCCTATTACTTGGGTCCTTGGACCCTTAGGGTCAGAATCCCTGGGTAAGCATGCGCTTTCTCAGACACCTAGGCCGTATTCGGCAACAAAGGCGTGGTGATTAATTTTCTCACTGCGCATGATATGAAGCTGATGAAGGACATTGAGAGGTTCTGCCACATCCGTGTTGACGAGATGCCGGAGCTCTCTTCTTTTAATGGAAACGCTGGGTACACCAACTCCAGCCTAGGCGGCGGCTGAACTGCGTAAAGATGTGCCATGTATATAGTTAGCCCCCTAGGGTTGAGGGTTTAGGGAACCATAAGCCTTAAACCTTAAGCCCTAAACCCTAAACCAGAAACCTAAGAACCTGTGTACAGACTGCCGCTGCAATGCGTTTTAGTTCGAAGCTTGAGTCTCAGCCGAGTTATCAGAACCCTTGGAGGGTCCCCTCAAAATCAATCCTAGGCATACTCCCCTTCCCCCGAATTTTCGTTGATGTCTCATGAGTGTCCCCGTGTCCTGACCCTAAGCCCCAAGGCCCTAAACCATTGATTCCTCCGCAGTCCCCGATCCTACGAATACGTCTCCGCACTCCCAACAATCCCTAAGGGTCCAAGGACCTAATTAATAGGGTTTTAGGGCCCAAATACTATAATATTAATGGTATTTGGGCCCTAAAACCCTATTATTTGGGTCCTTGGACCCTTAGGGAATAGTAGTAGGAATAATGCTGGTAATGCGAAACGGACCTTGTTAATGATTATACATACCCTAGAAGGCACCAGTATTGACAGTGTATGTGTTGTGCGGGAGTGCGAGGGATGTGCCCAAGATGCGCCAATGTACTCTTATATACCCCCATATTTCCCCTGTATACCCAACATGTACTTCAGGAGACCCAAGCGCAGATTGAGTCAGATTTTCCTGCCCATTTTACCGCAAAAAATGAACAACAGCTGACTTTGATCTTACCCCTATAGATATACCTCTGCATTCCTTTATATACTCCAACATAGCCCTGTGTACCCTGATGTAGCCCAATCTCTGGCAAATGCCAGAAAGTACCTCATCAAATACAAGTTGATGTGCCAGGATTAGAGTTGCAAAATGTCTTAAGGAACACGTAGGTCTAAAGTCAATGGTAGGTAGCAGGCAATTTCTTTCAAGCGTTCTAAGGGTCTTCTACATCCGCAGGGAAGGGTGTTTTTTTAGGGTGCCCAAAAATCACAGTAAAGTGTTAAGCATCAGAGTCTCGGCGACTTTTTTGTACCCTGGAATATCGGGGAAAGGGGACAGTTGGATCTGTTTTTGGGATTCCCGAAACCTTAAACACTAAACCCTAAACCCTGTCGTCCTTGAGCTTCGGGAATGCAGCTGTGACTGCCCCTAATCTGAGTGTGATTCCACGCGCTTAATTCGCATCTTGGAGTATGCCCCGAGCATTGGCCTTGGGCATGCTATCTAGCCGTCAAACCAGGTTGACAGCTCCTTGACCCTGCGCTGAAGACTCCTGGCTCTGTTGCAACCAAGAAGTAATGCGTACACAAATCCTGAGGACTGCACCCCGAGCCCATCACTCGCGGGGTCGGCTTTTTGATAATCTTGGTGCTGTCGCTTGTCACATGTCAGCTCCAGGAGTACGGGCACAAGGCTTTTGTACCTGGCAGCCCCATACGACACATCAAATATCTGCATGCCCCAATTGGATTTTTGGGATGCGCCGCGTTGGGTGGCATGTCAAGAGGTTTCCGCAGATTGATGTGCAGTTGCTCAGTAACAGTTTTGGGCCACAAGTCCGCCCAAGAACTCTTTGTAGACGACGGCGTTCTCAAACCCAAAGGGTCCTAGGTACCCTTATGGGGAATACTTACCCAAACCATAAGGGAAATTACTACTACAGAAACCATACTTTGTACCATATAGGTACTTTGGACCCTTTGGGAAACTGTGCTCCAGGCCGGGGCTCTAGTCAGAGCATGTTTCCAAGTCAAGGTGTTGGCCCCCTTCTAGCCCAAACAGTGCAACCGCTACAAACAAGGATTCACAGATTCACAATAGCGTTGTCGTTTTCGTTGTATAGAAAGCTGTTTTTAGAGATTGCGCAGTGCACCGCTAAGCCCCAAACCCTAATCCCCAAATAATACGCCCGCAACCCATGAGCCTAAACCACAAACCCAAAAGCTGTATATAAGCCCTAAGCCCTGAGCCTTAAACCCTGAAACTCGGAACCTGTATCTCGAACTTCCTGCTCCCGTTTTGTGTTCCTAGCCCCTACCTAAACCCTCCAAAATATGTAAAATAATGGCCCTAAACCCTTAAGAATAGCCTAAAAGGCCATTGTTCTACATACTTTTGGGGTTCAGGTACATGAAAAACCCCCAGACGCCAAGTCCCCTAGGATCTCCTTAATGAGTCAATGTGATCCAATCGAGGACCTGTCTAGAAACTTTTTGGAATTTAAAGCCTTGACCAACAAAGCCCCAAACCCTCAACACCAGACCCTAACCCCTAGACATGAACCCTGACCTTACGTAAACCCTAAACCCTAAATCCCTGGAAGTACATGGCTTGGCGTCGGCTGAAAGCCCTGTGGCCCGTCCGTGCAGCTTTAAGTGCTGTCATGAAAAGGAAAGAAGCAGTGGAAAAGCCACCAAAAAAGAGTGCGGGTGCCTTCCTATAATTGAAGTGTATAGGGTCATCTCTAAACCCTAAACCCTAAAGCCTAAACCCTAAACCCGAAATCCTAAAAACCCTAAGCTATACTGGAGTATATTGGAGTATTACAAGGAAAGGAGATCAACTCACCCTCAGTTGATGAGGTGCTTGTTCTCCCACTTGTAGCAACCACGGCACATCAGGCAACTGAGAAGAGTTCCTTTGAATCAAGTGGGCACCCCCCAGGAAGCTCACGTAGAAGCCCTATACAACAGTTCCCCAAAAGATGAACCCCTAAATCTGCGAAGCCCCTGCATTGCATCTATGTGTTGTTATTATTCTCATTATTGCCTTAAGCATCAAAAGCACCTAAAACCCTTATATAGTATTGTCTTTGGGCCCAAATTCCTTCAAATACGAATCCTTAGATGCCTAGGGTTGTTATTGCTGTTCATATTAGTCTTAGTCAAAGATGCCACCAACCCGCCCTGCCACAGTCTAGAAGGAATATGCTTTACATGATACCAGGATTTGTAACATGATTTAGGGAATATTACTAAGCCCTGAACCTACGCTTTGAACCCTACACCTAAACGGGCTCCCTGGGTAAGCAGGTGTCTTCTGAGGAGAACGCCAAGTCGCTTGCGCTCTACTTTGACCGTGAGGCCAGTCGCAGGTGAAAGATAAAACCCTAAACCCCTAAATTTCTAAATCCCGTAAACCCCTAAACCCTAAACCCCTATACCGTTTCGGGTTTAGGATTTGGTGGTGACTATGGTTTCCAAAAACCTAAACCCTAAAGCAGTGTTTAGTTTTTTGTTGTTTGTTTTTGTGGGTGGGGGCCTAGAAGGATGAGCGTATTTTGGTGTTAGAAAAGACCCCTCCCATGTTGGGAAACCACCAAAACACACCCTCCCCTAGGGTTTAGCCTTGAAGGTTTAGGGTTTAGGGTTTAGGGTTTAGCCTTTAAGGTGTAGGGTTCACTGTTTAGGGTCCCAATTAGCATGGAACCCCCAAAGTGACCGATAAAGACCAGTGCCCTTTCGATCGGAAATGGTTAGGGTTCAAGGGTCAGTATCTACGGCTAAGGGCTTAGGAATTAAGATGTGCTTCGACCTCCCAACTACCCATGGTAATAGCCCGTACAGTAGGTTCCCCAAAAATGCGATAACTGTTAATATGATGAGGACCATCTATATATATATATACATACTTATACATATATACACACAAAGTATATCTATCTATACATATATATATATATAGATATCTATCTATATGCCTGGAATTTCCCATTGCAAGAGCCTATATCTGCGCTATTCTGGGATGGTCAGCCATTATTTTGTGTATCTGAGAGGTCAAGGCAGGTCTCCAGGCTTGGGATTTAAGGGTTTGTTTGAGTCTGTGGAAGAGCTTCTTAAGCGTGCATGCGGGCTGCCATGGACTTTCTTAGCGGTTTAGGGTTTGGAGCTTTTAGCTGGAATCGTGCGGCCAGGTCTGCATTCGAGTTAAGTGGTTGTAGACGGAATAGAACCCTGTTTGCGGTGAATCTCTGAGGTTACAAGCCAATCCCTAAAGCCCAGAGGCCCTAAACCCTAAACCCCATGACTCCAACTCTATGGGCTCCTTTTTGTGATTGGACTCAGGGTTTAGGGTTTAGGGAGTGGCAGGGGGAGGGTCTGAAGACCTTTTGGTAGCATTTCGGGTATTCCATAGCTTGGGGGCCCACTGAGGACGCCGACATTCGGCTGTATTCCTCATTATGCTGCGTCCCCTAAGCACCTAGACCCCCCAAGTACCCTGTATAGACCCCTAAGTATCCCCAAATCGAAGCTACATAGGCCCTATTTTAGGGTACTTGGCGGGTCTAGGAAGGATCCCTAAGTTTTGGGGAACCCTGTTTTTTTCATATTGAGCTCGTTGAGTGGGACTTCTTGGCAGAGCAAGAACTCCCCAGAGGGTCCAAGTACCCAGTAATTAGGTGCTTGGGTTTTGGGTAATAGTAACTACAGTATAGGTTTTGGGTAAGTATATGATTATTAGGTACTTGGACCCTTAGGGTTCTAGGCGGCCGCTGCAACTTTCTGAACGCTGCTGCGAGGAAAGCCTAGATGCAATGTGGGATGAGAAGTGTTCTCCAACTGCTCCGGCCGCTTTCATTTCATCTGTACGAATTGTGCTGGCTGTGATTGGCATGGATGGCTTGTTTCCTGGGACTTTCGTTTCGGGGCGTATGGAAGGAGTATCCCATCAGCTTTTCATGCAGAAAGATTTTCTAAGTTCCTCCAATGGTCAAGCATTTGGACACTTGTGGTAGATCCTTCTGCTCCAAAACTTGGTGCTATGCATGGAGGCTCAGCCGGATGGAAGGAAGTGCCATTGTCAGATGCTTTTGTAGATGGTTGCTAAGACAAGTGGGTCCCCAACGGTCTAAGTACCCAATAATCATATACTTACCCAAAACCTGTACTATCATCACTATTACCCAAAACCCAAGTACCTAAATATTGGGTACTTGGACCCCTAAATCCTAAACCCTAAACCCTAAACCCTATATATCCCTATAAATCCCTATATATCCCCTTTAAAGGGTACCTAATTAT